AAAACAAGATCAAAAAGACTTTTTGGCTGATATAAGATTTTAAAACTTGGTTAGGTGGACAGTTTTTGCAGTGAACAATAAAGGTTTATTTTACAATATGTTAAACTCATACATATTCCTCCAACAAATTAACCTTTATCATTCTCTTAAAAATACACAATGATCTGGTGTTTTTAACGTCCCGTCTTCACCTGAGTCAGAACCTCACAGCTGTAACGTCCCAGCACACCTCGCCAATCGATCAGAAAAGACTTTCTTGAAAAAGGATGAAAGGGAAGCTTTCCTGCCGGTTCTGAGGTCCCGTCTCTGAGCGGTGATACATTAGGGGAGTGTGGAAGGATTAGGGCGTAATGGGATTCTGAAAGCGTCTCTCTGCATAATGTACACTCCACTTAACAACACTGAGATTATGTCGGACACAGGGCTTTTAAAGCCAAGTAGCCATTATCCCTTCTGGCCGGAGTGACAGCACCTTTCACAGCAGGATGAGCTTCCATTAGCCCCGCAGACCGGTGATTACACCATCTCCCCTCAGAGACCGCTCAGGCTAAATAACCGTCTGCTCAGCAGCACGGCGCAGGTAGGAAAACACGCCGCTGAGGAAATCAGTCTCAGGTGGAGACGGGACGATTATCGGAAGAAATAAAAAAGGGCAATACGGGTTTGTAGTGTTAGATTATGATACGAAAGTACGTCTACAGCTGATTGAACCCAATTCAAGATGGCTGCCTCAGCCAACGCAAAAGACTCAAACTCAGGCTCGACAGATGTTGAGCTGAGGGTCTGAAGTGTTTGTAGGTTTTATTTGTGAGAACAGGGAGCAGGTGGAAGAGAAACTGGAGAGGAGTGAGCGTCAGTCCGGGCAGAACTCTGGGATGAAAGGTCAGAGATGGGCACAGTCCAGCTAATCCCCTAAAATCTACTAGTCTCTCATTTAGCAGATTAGCTTTGWTGCTAACTTTGGAAATTCATTAGCAGACTTGTTAGCTTCTGCTAAAGGAAGTTCTTCTGATTTTAAGTCCGATAAAAACATCACGTGTAAAACTTCAATTTGTATGTCGTTTATCCCAAATTAACTGTCCGCTCTTACAAGCAATGCTGGACGCGTCAGGCACCGTGTGTTAGCATGTAGCATCTTTAGCAGCTGAACTTCAAACTAAGAGCATCAAAAATAAAATTTAATATTTAAATAACAAATACGAAAATGACTATAAAATATGGTGGAGAAAGTATTTGCCATTTGTTGTTTGACCAACTTCAAACAGTATTTATAAAAATACAAACTAACTTAAAGAAAGGCTTTTATTCTGAAAGTATCATAAGTTAGACAGAGCTTTAAATCTGGTTTGGATTGGCYGGTTTGCCATAGATGATCCTGCCCACCTTCAAATTAAACCAATAGAAAACTAACAGTTTTGACAGCTGTCTTAGCAGTTAGCGTTAGCTTCCACTGGATTAGCATTTGCGGAGCTAAGATTCTTGTTTAGCGGATTAGCATTAGCTGAACTAAGAATCTTGTTTAGCGGATTAGCATTAGCTGAGCTAAGATTCTTGTTTAGTGCATTAACATTAGCTGAGCTAAAATTCTTGTTTAGTGCATTAGCATTAGCTGAGCTAAAATTCTTGTTTAGCGCATTAGCATTAGCTGTGCTAAGATTCTTGTTTAGCTTATTAGAGGTTAGTGAAGCTAACGTTTTAGTTAGCTGTGCTCACCACTGACTGGACTTCATCTGGAAATGTTAGCCCTTTAATTACTAATCTTATTCCCAGGTTTTCATCATTTTATTGCTTTTTTATTCCTTCCAAAACTTATGGCTTAGAATCTGCTGAGTCACCAGATTTGTTTTACTGTCATGGCCGCTCCCTTAAATCTTGAATAATTTCAGCAGTTTTGCCAACAGACAGCACAAAATAATACCCTCTGAGAAAATAGTTTTGGAAACAGAACTCTCTAATGATAACACTTTCCTCTTTAAAACCATTTATTTTGTGTTTTTTTTTCCAGCTCTTCTGGTGGTTGCGTTCCTCTTGGCCATTACAGCTCTCTTATTTGTGGTGGTGCCGTACGTCTACAGGTGTGTTTTAATTATTATCCAGAATAAAACACCTCCCTGCTTTGATCCCTCCCCTGTCAGGACTCAGCTTAACTTCCTTATTTATTTTTTTCGCAGGAGGCATTGTACAAAGTGCAAGAAAGCCATTTGCTGCCAAGATCCCCTGGACTGTGTGCAGAATGTAAGTAACACACTTCCTGTGACGGTCTCGTTTGTGTCACATCCTGATGAACGGCTTCAGATGAAACCGATCGACCAGATTTAGACCATAAGTTAATCAGAGGACTGAACTGAGGAAGTCCAGATAAATGATTTTATTCACTTTTCACTTCACTGACCACAGCTGTGCCTCCTTGGTCTTCATGATGCCTCCTGCTCCACCTCAGAGCAGGTGTAAACTAACAATCAACTAAAAATCACATTTATCTGCATCTTTCTTCCTGCCCTGCAGAAAACTATCTTTATGAAATGAAACCAACATTTTTGTATTTGCTTTGGCCGACTGCTCGGCCCGAGCCTCTCAACCAAACTCCCACCATGGAGCCGCTGTGAGACACTAATGGAATGATTGAAACGAATGTTAGAGGAGTCGTTTTGATCGGCTCATCTGTCCGCTGCCAGCGGTCAGCAGCAGGAACAGCTCCTCTCATTGTGCCGAGCAGGACGTCTCTGGCTTCCATATGGTGTTTGGGATGGCATGCAGATCCATCACCTCGTATTAGAGCCGGTGTCTTCCTGCTCTGGTCCTTTAAACTGCTGCAGGGAGGCGAGAGGGTCCGGCAAATCCAACCCAGAGGCAGCAGAGCCTCCAACTTTGATGAATCACAAGATGCTGACAAAACAAACCRCTGGAACTCAATAATTACAGGAACAATATCACAAAGTATTCAAAAGTTTTGTTTGATTTCTGGAGATCTTCTCAAAACCTCGAACTGAGCCGTTAAAAAAAAGTTTGCACAAAAAGTTAGCTTCACTAACTGCTAATCCGCCAAACAAGACTTAGCTTTAAACCGCTAAATCAATAAAAAAATTAGTGGAGGTTAACCGCTAATATGACTATCAAACCTGTTGTTAGTTTTCTATTGGTTTAATTCAAAGGTGGGCGGGATCACCTCTGGCAAATCGACCAATTCAAACCAGTTATAGCTCCTTATTTGTGACACTTTCAAAAGAAAAGCATTTCTTTGATTAGTTAGTTAAGCAACAAATATAAAATATGTTTTCTACCATATTTTATACATAGTTTTTGTATTTGTTATTTAAATATTGCTAAATGTTGTTTTATTTAGCTGCTAAAGATGCTACATGCTAACCCACACTGTTGACCGACACATCCAGCACTGCTTGAAAAGGGGATTGTTTTTATTTAATTTGGGATAAACATCATAGAAAAATAAGTTTTACACTTTTAGTGGATTTAAAATTAGCAGAAGCTGGTTTAGTGGTAGCTGATGGGTCCGCTAACAAAATCCAAAGTTAGCATAAATGCTAATCTGGTAAATCAGAAGCTAGTTCCGCTATTAGCAGAACTGTGCCCACGTCTTTACAGACAGGTTATTTTATTAAATCCACAGACTTTAGGGGTAGTTGACATTTAGAAGATGTTTATTCAGACAGGAGGGATCACTTCCTGTTTGTCGTGATCACTTCCTGTTTGTCGTGATCACTTCCTGTTTGTTGTCTTAAACTAAAAGAGGAGGCTTGGAGGTGTTGGAGCATTCTCAGTTCAATGACTGACTTCCTGTTTTTACAAGTCTGATTGTCTTTGCCTTTAACTCAGTTTGAGATGTTGGTCTTAAAGTTTTTATAGAGGTGTTTTATTTTATTTTTTTATGATTATTGGCTCATTTTACTTACTTTATTGTTTTTTATGTTGGCTTTTATGTGTTTTTTATCAGTGTGCAGCACTTTGGATAACAGTGTTGTTTTTAAAGTGCTTTATAAAGTTGCATTGTCCGCTCTCTTTCAGTTCTAGAAATTGATTTGATTCTGAAACAATGAGCTAAAACTAGATTCAGCAGCTTTTAGTAATTTTAGCTAAATTTTTACTAATTTTAGCATCGACCTATGTTCGCTCATTTTAGCTACTGTTCTCCTGTTTTGACTTTTTAGCCACAGTTTTGCTCATTTTAGCTTTATCGTCCCTTTTAATGAATGTAGCTTTTGTATTGGTAATTTTAGCTGCATTTTTGCTAATTTTAGCACTAACATACGTATGTTCGCTCATTTAGCTACTGTTCTGCTGTTTTTTAGCTACAGTTTTGCTTATTTTAGCTTTAATTCCTGTTTAGCTACTTTTAGCATCTGTTCTGCTGCTTTTATGTTTAGCTTTGCTAAATGTAGCTTTATCACTGTTGCTCATTTTAGCTTTCTGTGTAGTTTATTTTAGCTACTGTTCTGCTGTTTTTTAGCTACAGTTTTGCTTATTTTAGCTTTAATTCCTGTTTAGCTACTTTTAGCATCTGTTCTGCTGCTTTTATGTTTAGCTTTGCTAAATGTAGCTTTATCACTGTTGCTCATTTTAGCTTTCTGTGTAGTTTATTTTAGCTACTGTTCTGCTGTTTTAGCTACAGTTTTGATCATTTTAGCTTTATTGTCCCTTTTAATGATTTTAGCTTTTGTTTTGGTAATTTTAGCATTAACATACATATGTTCGCTCATTTAGCTACTGTTCTCCTGTTTTTTAGCTACAATTTTGTCTTATTTTAGCTTTAATTCCTGTTTAGCTACTTTTAGCATCTATTCTGCTGCTTATGTTAAGTTTAGCTAAATTTAGCTTTATCACTGTTGCTAATTTTAGCTTTCTGTGTAGTTTATTTTAGCTACTGTTCTGCTGTTTTGAAATTTTAGCTACAGTTTTTCTAATTGAAGTTTTGCCGTCTGTTACGGTGGTTTGGGCTCAGCTCTCTGAAGGTCCTGAAGGAGGTTCTGGACTTGGACTGGACCACTACAGCTCCTCGGTTCTTGTCTCTTTGACCCGTTCTGATGCAGACCAGCTGCTGTGTTTGGGACCAGGTTTCTGTTGGAACCAGTTTCAGACAGGTGGACTCACATCCAGAACTGGCCCACCAGCTTTAGAGAACTTTCCATACCTAAGTCGTGCTGCCATGTTGGTTTTAGGGAGAAGAGGCCTTGACCTTTGGCCTTTGACCTGCTAACTAAGAGGAGTGTACTGAGATGGTGCTCATTGCACAGTCTGACCTTCGGGGTGAAGGCTGTCAGCTGCTATAATCTTCCTCTTCTGTAGAGCAGTGGACTCTAAATGACCTTTGACCCTTCCCGGAGGTCACTGCTGATGCTTTTCCATGGTAACACACATTAATCGTGTTTCCATCCAGTTGTTGAGTGAATTTTTATTGAACTTTTCAAAATTCGCAAAACATTAAATAAAAATTTGAATCTAGACTGTTTCCCTCAAGTTTCCGTCTCGACTGTTTGATGCGAATAAACGAGGCTACGCAACGCGTGATTACGTCAGACGACGCTACGCAACGCGTGATTACGTCAGACGACGCTACGCAACGCGTGATTACGTCAGACGACGCTACGCAACGCGTGATTACGTCAGACGACGGCGACAAGCTCTGCGGTAGTAAACAGGAAGTGAAACTTGCTAACTAGCAGAGGCTAATCATCTCGGGACAATGGAGCGATTTTTTTCACGAATGCCTTGCTATTGGGCAAGTTGTAATTATTCTATCTATTCAGCTAGTTCAGGCTATGTTTAACTCTGCCAACTTCCAGGACGAGGCAGGAAAGCGGAAACAGCTGAATGTCCCGTGAGGTAAATATGCGCTACATCAGAATTTATTCGGCAAACGTTTTTCCATCTCCCGTTTTGCGCATTAACTACTTAGCGAATCATCCAAAAACCACCTCAAGCGAGCGAAAAAACTATTTATCGAATTGAGGATTTTTTTTTCTCGAATTTTTCTGTTTCCATCTGACTTTTTTTCGCATTTTTAATGCGACACTTCTAAATGCGCATCAAAAAGCCTTGATGGAAACACGGTTATTGTTTTAATCCCTAGAATTGAAACAGGGTGAACATTTTACTTGTTTTGTTTCAGTTACTCAGCCTTTAAAACATAAAAACTTTGGTGAATCTAATCGACGGTGATGTTTCCTCTCGTTCGCAGGTCGATGGTGAAGCTGCAGATCAACCCGTCACCAAAACGTCACGTCTGCTGTCTCTGGACACTTTCCGAGGGTATGTCCATCGACAAGCTTCCCGTGTGTGAAGCCGTGGCCACACATTAATGTTTCTGAGCAGTGGGATGAAGATCTGCAGACCCCGTGTAATGAATAATTACTGGGGTCACAGTCTGGCCACGCGCTCCCCTCGACGCTGTTATCATCAGGCGGCGGTGGCTCTGGGCAGCGCTGAGAGGACCACGACTCTGGGCTTTGAGACAGAGCGGTCCTGTTGGACAGGAGGGCTGTGTCTGATTGAATCTGGGCTCCCTGCGAGCCCTAATTGTGGCCTGGGGCCGGACACAAAGCACGCCTCTCTGGAAACAGGATGCTGGTGTGGCTCCGACCGCCCCGTCGGCCAAATAATTGATGCGATAATACCGCCGACATATCAGCACACGTCCACGGGCCGCAGATCCACCGCCGAGCACGACCAGCTGATGTCTTTTTACAGCTGAAACCAGTAACGACTGCTTCACCCTGGAAGGTGACCTCGTTACACTTTAGACCAAAAACAGGTCAAACATAAAGGATTCATGATTAGTTGTAGCATTAGACTTATTTGATAAACATATATTTTAACTGTAATATAAAGACTAAAAAATACTGAAGGATGTTCAGTTTTTATCATTTTTAAACTAAAAGTTTAAAAATATATTTTAACACGGACAGGGCCATTTTATTTACACACAGTGCATTCTGGGTAAATGATGACGTGGATAGGTCCTCGGCTAGCGAGCTATATCCACCCTGAAAGTTAATCTTGGACAATATCTGTTGATCGACTCTTAAATGAAACCAGAGAGCGTTGACAGAGAGGAGAAGGTAGAAATGACTCAGCCTGGAACTGAAAATATGGATGGAGGACAACAGAGCTGCTTCATGGAAGAAGAACCTCAGCTTAGCCTGTTAGCTTTAGCTCTGACGCTGTATAGCCTTTATATGTAATAGCTCAGCGCTAGCGGCGAAACTAACAGCGTTCCCCTCTCTGTCATGTGGATGGAGGACCTCAGTGACGAGAGGAGAATGTGTAGCGCTGAGCTAATACATATATATGGTGATAGCATCGGGGCTAATGCTAAAGCTAACAGGCTAAGCTGAGGTTCTTCTTCCATGAAGCAGCTCTGTTGTCCTCCATCCATATTTTCAGTTCCAGGCTGAGTCATTTCTACCTTCTCCTCTCTGTCAACGCTCTCTGGTTTCATTTAAAAGAGTCGATCATCAGAAATATTGTCCAAGATTAACCTTCAGGGTGGATATAGCTCGCTAGCAGCCTCGCACCGAGGACCTATCCACGTCATCATTTACCCAGAATGCTTTGTGTGGAAATAAAATGGCCATCTGTGTTAAAATATATTTTTAAAAATTTACAAAACTAAACAGCCTACAGTATTTTTATAGTCTTTATTTTACAGTTAAAATAAATGTTTATCAAATAAAGTCTAATGTTACAACTAATCATGGATCCCTTTAAGTACAGTATTCAGTTAAAGTACTCCATTACTGTCCACAACTAAACAGCATCACCCAGTCCTGCTCCTGGAGGAGTCTCTCAGTTGTGAGACTACTGGTTTGAGTGATTGAAGGCTTGTGTAGACGAGCAGGACCAGGTGTGGACAACAGTCTGACACCTGTGCCAGGTGGTTCCCAGGACCTGGTGATGGTCTGGTTGTTCCCTCAAACATGTCAGTGTCTCTTCTCGTCAGGTTCTTTTTATCTGAAATGTTAATCTGAGGTTACAGAGAACTCGTCACACATTGACGTCCTGATTTGTCCCGTCCCTGATGAGACGTTTAATCAGGCTGAGGATGAATTGGACAGGTGTGTCCTCTGCCCTGCAGCTTCATGATCCATAACCCTGATGAGTACCTGAGAACAGACACATCAGTCAGCTGCCGTAAACCCCGACACGTCTTTGAGGAGCTGAAAGCTTTTCCTGCTCGTCGCTCATTCTGCGCCGACACGACGGAGGAGGAATGATGGCAGCTTCATTTTTCTAAAAGGCTTTGGATTTTAATCTCACGCCGCGTCGCTGAAAGCCTTTCACTGCTGAAAATCACAGTTAGTCGGTGGTGAACAACAGATGGAACAACTATTACAACAGAAACAGATGGCTGAGTCATTCTGCGTAAACGCTGACTCAGCTTTCACCGTTTCCTGGTTTACAGTTTCTTCTTTTTATTGGTCGTGTGTCAAAAACCCTCAGATGGATCAGTAACAGCAGACCGACTTTAATACTTTAATAATATTTAGCTTTAATGAAGTTCCACAGAAATCCATTCAAATCTTTTAGATTCCTTCAAAATATCATTTAAAAAAACATCTGCTACAGAAAAATGGCTGTTTTTTCTTCTTCTGCTACTTTTAACTCTTAGCTGCTATTCTGGGTCTTTTAACTTTTAGCTACTCTATTGCTAACTTTAGCAATAACTGCAGCTTTTAGATTATATGTAGCATTCTGCTATTTTAGCTTTTTGCTACATTTTTGCGAATTTTACCTACTGTTTTGCCAGTTTTAATTGTTCGCTAATTTTAGCTGATATTTGGAATCTTTAGCTACAATTTTGCTTATTTTTCCTCTAACATCCATTTTGGTGGTTTTAGCTACTGTTTTTGTAAATTACAGAACAGTTTTCTAGTTTTAGCTTTAACACATTTTGGTGAATTTAGCTACAGTTTTGCAAATTTTAGCTTTATCATCTGTGTTAATGATTTTACAAACTGTTTTGCCAGTTTTAACTGTTCGCTAATTTTAGCTACTGTTCTAATATTTAGAATCTTTAGCTACAGTTTTGCAAATTTTTGCTCTACCATCAGTTTTGGTGATTTTAGCTAATGTTTTGGTAATTTCAGAAACAGTTTTGCTAATTTTAGCTTTAACACATTTTGGTGATTATCGTTACGATTTTGCTAATTACAGATCTGTTTTGATGATTTACGCTACTCTTTTGGTAAATTAAGGAACAGATTTCTAATTTTAGC